GAGGAGTCGCCTCCTTGCGACTGATTTTTTTGCCTGGATTATTGGACCATTCGTTTCCAAGATTTTGTTCAGATATTTTTTGATATAGATTTTCTTCGTTCCTTCTGTTTCTTTAGAAACAGAAATTTGAGATCGAAAGAGATTAGGAAGGTTTAAGCAAGGTTTTGCGTGTACACGTAGAAAGATTATATTTGACAAGCGTTTCGTACGCGAAAATTATTTTACCCGTTTATGACCCCCACTGATTCATGCAACGACACTCTATCCGTTCCAATTTTAGGTTCCAGCTCTTGCTGCACCGCTCTAACTATTCTAATAGATCCTCAGACCCCCCTCTGTGTGTATCTCCGCTCTCTTCCCTCTAATTTTACCTACGAATATTCCCCAACGTCACGAGCATACCAAACGATAAAATCTCCTTCTATTTCTTTCTACTTATCCTTTGACTCTCCTCCCACCTTCAACTTTAAAATTCCGATCGATCACCGGATTCTGTCTGAATAATCACTGGAAAATCTCGCCCGAAGAATTTAAAAATTCTCCCTCCTATAAAACTTTCTCCTCTTCCTAGATGGAAGAATCGACCTCTAAAAAAAAAAAAAGAAAAAAATAGAACTTAACAGAAAATATTCAAATTATCCGATACACACGTTGAGAAATATCGATCTAGATCGAAGAGAAAGTCGACGCGCGAATTCTCGTTCTCGAAACGGGATAAAGCCCGCTAGAAAGGGAGAAATCGGTGCGAGAGCACGACTTCCCTTTCATCGGCATCCGGACGAACCGCCTTCGCCTCTACTTCCTGGTCGGACCACTCTTACTTTCCTCCCGGTGAACCGTGACTCGATCGCCGCTCACGGTTCAGGTGAAAACAAAAAAAAAAAAAATATTCCAGACACAATATTCGACGAGATTGGATTTTTTTTTGTCCACGCGTTACATTTCTGTCGCTATATCGGAACAGAGAGGTGAAAGCGCGAATCACTGAGCTGGAAATCGCGGCTGCGAAACGAAATTATGCATCTCGGGTGGTGTCCTTTCGTGGTGGAAAGTTTCCAGCGAGTGGAAACGGGCGAAGGACGCCGCATGCTCTGTTGCAAGCCGCCGGAATTTTCGAAACCCGCGAATTAGAACGGAATAGCGGGGATCTGTGTTGCGAGAACATCGGTGGGTATTGCTGATTTCGTTCGCGTATTGAAGGTTGATGCGTATTGTTTCCAACTGGGTGGGAAGTTAGATGATTAGGATTAAGATCCGCCCGGGTTTGAATACGTTTGAAGCCTCGTGGGAGAGAAGGATCTACGAGTCGTGATCATCGAAACATCGATAATTTCGAAAATCTTTCATCTTCGAATGAAATGACACAATCAATGCAATGAGAAAGAGAAAAAGAAAAAAAAGGAATCCCCTAATCGATCTGCTCTCTATTTAAAAAAGAATAAGAACGAAGATAGAACGATTAATTAAGATTGCAAATTAAAACCGCGTCTATGTTACATTACATACAAAAGATAAGGCGAGTCTAGAGTTTTTCAACGAACGATTTCAAAACTACCATCCCCTCTTTCTCCCTTTGAAACATACACGATTTTCGCGATCGGTTCAGCGAACTTAGCTCGAAGAAGCTCGCTCTTCCAAGTCGATAAGAGTCGAAGCTCGCGGCGCGATAAGAGCCCCGACACGGTTCGAGGTTGTTCACCTTGATGCTTCTCGCACGCGAGAACGAGACGGATGACGCTCGAGCGGACGAAGATAGCGCGTGGTCCGCACGCAGCGCGGATCAGAAGGGAAGGAGTCAAGAGAAATAAAAGAGACGAAAGAAAAAGAGAGGAGAAGCCGCGAGCGAGATTAGGGGAAGAGAGAGAGAGAGAGAGAGAGAGAGAGAGAGAAGTAGCGGATCCGTACTCTTAGTCGG